ATTTCCCAAGGATGAGCGACCGGTCATCCAATTGAGATCTTTAATACAGACAGCTCTGAGCCTCTGAGTCATACAAAAGCAGGGATTGGGTGGGTGTACCTAACCCTTTTGTGTAGAGATTTGGCCATACACATTATCATTCTGTTCCACTGTTTTGAAGCATCTCCAGTTTTCTACTGACATTGTATTTTCTATTGGGGACTTCTGGCCTCGTTTCCTTGGTGGGTGACAGGGAGAGATGGATAGGCTTGGGGCCCACCAAAGTTCACCTCCCCTTGAAATCTTGCATCAAAGAAAGACCAGTCACCCATGAAAAGTCAGAGAAAGAGAGTGAGAGAAACCTGCAGTGCAGGGCCCCACCATTATTTAATTTGATTGGAACTTATTGCCTGGGTCTCACTTACCAAAATTAACTTTTTTGCTTTTGGGGGTTGGGGGTTTCACTTCTTTTCATCGCTGCTTTCTGTTTGGTTTTTTTACAGACCAAGGCCAAAGAACCGAATGGGCATCCCAGTAAAAATTGCTCCACTAAGCTAAAGAACCTCCCCCTAAGCCTCCAAGCAAATAAAAAATGGAGCAAGAAGAGAAAAAAAGCTAGTCCTTTGCTTGTCTCCTTCTTCCCCACAACTTGAAATTTAAAAAGAAAAAGGTGGAAGGACCCATGAATGATCAAGACCTCTTAAAATTGCTTGTTTTTCATGGTGTGTCCTATCCAAAAGAAAAATTCAAATGGTGTATCTTACTCAATGATAGACTCCAATTTCAGAGATTGAATTTGGGTTTAAAAATTGAACAAGATGCTCTCTTAAACAATAGTGATGAGAACCACGTTATTATGTTTTGAGGGATTTCTGTTAGGTAGTAGTAGTAGGGAACCCCTTGGTAGGTCTACAATAGGGAAGAATATGCTGCATGTGGATGATGAACTATTCAGAGATTTCAATTCATGAATAATCTCTTTATCCAATTTTATTTATGATGGTTGCTTAATTAATTTCACTACTGGTCTAATTTAAATACTATAAATGATGAAAGCATAAGTTGAAACAAAGAAACAGAGTTCTGAAGAGTTTTCAGAATGCATGTCAACAAAAAAGGAGCCAAAAGAACAATACAAAGTCTTGCTTTGATCTATACTCTTGTATTTTTCTGCAAGGAGCCTTTTGCTTTTGCTTTTTTGATTTGGAGCTCCATGTGTAATTCAAACTCTGCTCCTTCATTCACAGGTGTTCATTTGTTGTACCCATCTTCTGGCTTGATGAGAGGGAGAGAGAGAGAGAGGAGAAGCTGTATTCACATCATGGCAGACCTGCAATCCTCTCTGGGTTTGAGTTGGGATTTACAGAAGTAACAAATGCAGGTGAAGGGAGGGTTCAAATTGTCCAGACCTCCTTAAACAAGCAAACATAGTTGTAGGTGGTCCCATCTCCCAAAGGCCCATGCCCTAAATTCAATACTATCCAATACTTGGAGCCTATTACTCCCCCACTTAAATGAACCAAATGGTCCCCTCCATCTTTTCATTCTTTCCTTGTTTACATTGTCTGTCTCAATAACAGGAACAATGAACAGTTAAAAGTTGGAGAGAGTGAGTTTCACATCTCAATTGCCTCCAACTTTTAAGCAGTAGCTGAGAGGTAGAGAGCTCTTTGTTTACCAGAATAAAAAGGTACACTTCTTGAAAGTAGCCACGTGTCAACACCCCAGTACAAAAGAGAAAGAAAAGCTTCACCCTGCTTTTTAGGAACTTGCATTTATCTCTGCTTTCAAGGTGGATGATGAGAGAGTTTCCGGTTTCCGCCATGCTATGATTTATGAATGCCCACTTCATTTCAGAATTCACAGATTTGATAATTTGATTCCTCCCCCTCACCTCCTCACCCCCCTCCCCCCCTAGACCCATCATATACAAATCTAACCTACAGGCAGGGTACGTTGGTGGAGGAATCTAATGACCGTACACGTGGCATAGAAACAGGGCTGTCAGATTTATCATTGTCTCAGATGGGTCCCACGGGGGGTGGATAGTCCAACTCCAAGCCCAGTCAGTATCCATACATCCATGACATCAGAATCAGTTTCTGTTTTCTTTCCCCCCATCTCAATAGTCCCCACCCACCGTTCCCTGAGAGAGAGAGAGTCTTTTATTGGATGGTTAGGATTTGTGAATCTTGTGATTCGGGACCCACTGGGAAAGTGGGCCCGATGCAGCTTCGAATGCACCATAACCCTTGTGTAGTTGTGTGTGTGTGTGTGTCAGAGCCTCACAATGACTCACTCGTTCGTACAAGGTTGCAGTACCATTTGCTGTAAGTGTAGAAAATGACATTGCTGGACGAGCTTTTTAACTCTTTATGGTCGTCCTACTTTCGTGTCCTTTTACCATTTTACCACAAACATGTCCAACTGCTTGGATTTGGCCACCTCTCTCTTTCTATTTGCACCCTTGCCACTCTCTCTCTCTCTCTCCCCTCTTCCTGTTGAGATTGTTCAACTTTTTAACAAGATGATGATAATGGTCAGTTGGGTTGAAAAGCCCCTGTTTTACTTCTTTTCCTTTGTCCATATTGCCCTTGTTATTCCCTTTATTTACCAAAATGCCATCCTCAAGGCAACTACCCAATTATTCTTTTGGTGATGAAAATGGGATGGGATGGATGTATATGCCCTTGTTAGTTGTCTCTGACCATCCAAAAGGAATGGAATGTGTGGTCGCGATCAATTCAATCCAGTCAACTTTTGCTGTGGGGGAAGGTTTAATGTGGGACCCTCTCAGAGGGGTACGTGTATGGTTAGTATGTCTCTAGGCTGGTTTTACAGTCTGTATGGTATTAAATGAAGGGGTTGAAAAAGAGAGATGCCAATGAAGAAAAGAAAGAAAACTCAGACTTCAAAAAGTTCAAACTATGCCACCACTGTAATTCTGTAACCCAATCCCTCCTCCTCCTCTCTCTCTCTCTCTCTCTCTATTATGAACCATGAATGAATTAAATTCTCTTCATAAACAGTCTATATCTAATCCTACAAACAGTCTATATCTCAGTCCTTTTGACCAAAATAATTAACTAAGCCACCGTCTCCCGGCCGGCCGGTTGAACTCCGGCAACGGTGGGGGTTCTCACTTCTCAGGGAGGTGCTCTGCTGCAGTAAATTTTGATATCCATATTTATTTATAAACTACAAATTGTACCTATCCATGCATAGGCAATGATGTCTATACTCTTAATACATATTTCTGAAAGAAAGAAGAGTTATTGAAATGCTGCTGCTTCTACTTCTTCTTTTATTATATACCTCAGTAATGGCGCCTGAATGATTGAGAACATTGGATGAAGCCATGGGCCAGGTAAGGATTCTAGGGTCCATTCAAGTTTATTGGTTATAGTACCTTGATATCCTCCGTGGGGTCTCTCTCTCCTAGCTATCTTCTGAAAACCCTTTTACATGGAGATGTGACCATTGCAGCACTCAGAGTCAGTCCTCTGGGAGAATTGTTTGTATGGTAGATTTCCAACTGGGAACAGAATTGCTTAGGCAGTTAGGCTAAAAGTCTGGCTTATTGATTTGACAAAATGGAAGATATGTGACAAATAGGGTTGAAACTTGAAAGCTAGTACGTAATTTATTGCACACACACACACTAACAAAGTATTCTTTTAATCACTCAAATTGGTTGGATTGTTGTTTGTATTAGAATGAAATGAATTGGGATTGATGGGGGGATTAGTGATTCTGGGAAATGTACTTGTTTTGAGTGCTCATCTATTTTTGTACGTGTATAGCTATTAAGTTGGATCACCGTTCCCTAACTTCCATCCATCCCTTGATTATTAATGTAAAGTTCTGGGGTGTACGGGAGATTTAAAAGGTGGGGATGATGGGGAACTGAGCTAGTTATGGGTCCATCAGAATTACAATATTTGGGAAGAAAATCAAATTGAACTCCAATCCAATCCAATTCAACTGCCTTAACGAGAGACCCCATTTGTGGGTTAAGTCAGAATTCAGGTTTCTAATGCAGCTTTAGGCTGTCAACACCCAAAGAATGAATATTCTCGAGTAAGGACATGGCCTTTCCTTGTTGGCCCTTTGCTTCTGCAATAATTTGCAACCTACCGAACATGTCTTACCTCTGGCCTTCAACTCTGCTCAGCATTTTGTTGCACATGGTGGGGATGAGGTGGGACACTACATATAGGTGGAGTCTCTTTCTCTCTCTCTCCATATCTAGAGAGATATGAATAGAATTTAGCTGTTCTGGCCACCCATTTGCATGAAATTCAATTCCCATCCATACAACCTTCTTTTCATGGATGGAGTTGCCATTGTCTAGAGATTGCATGAGATACCAACATCCCCCCATCCACCACATTTATGACTCTGTCCATGTTCTCAAGGAAAGCCCATCTTCAAATTTCACTGTTGATGAATTGGGTGTATTGAATTGCATTTGGCTTATATGAAATGAAATAAATACAGTAGCTAGAGCTTATCCAAAGTAGGATGGTGTTAGGTTAGGTATGCTGCTGACTTGGTATCAGGGGAGCATAGAGTGAGATTCAAGGTACATACACACATAATACATACGTTTTGATACTTCTATCTTTTTTTTTAGCTACTTCTTTGTTTTCTAGTGTAGCTAATTAGGGTTTGCATGCTGGGTTTTAGGGTTCAGCAGCTTACTGGTTACTGCATGAGTTGTCTGTTGTCACTTGTCGCCACCCTTCTTCTTGCACTCAGACCCAGTGTGATTAGTTGATTCATCAACAAGAGCATATAAGGAAATGGAGAAGATTACACAGAATTAAAGATTACACTGAATTAAAAAAGATAAAAAAATGAGAAAAAAAGATTGAACTGGCAAGGATTTGATATCGGATATAAACTTTTCAGAAACATGAAGAGGTGGGGGCGCTCTTAATGCCAACCCTGCCCTCTTCTTTCTTGTGTCTTGTCATCTCATATCTACTCTATCTATCCCCTCTCCACTCATCCATCTCTCTCTCTCTCTCTCTCTCTCTCCACTCATCCATTTCTCTCTCTCTCTCTTCTCTCAGTTCTGTCTTCTGACTGACTTTCTCTACTCTCTCCTGATTTCTCTTTCCATCAAATAACTTCAGTCCACGTGTCGGGCCACATTTATCACCCTTCCCCAGCTTCCCCACGAGACTTCTCAGCACTACTGTATTCATCTCATTTCCAGTCCACTCGCATGCACACTCATCTCATCTTTTCTCTCTCTCTGTCTGTCACTGCAGCGTTTTCTCCATTCTCTCAGACACTTCATGCCCATTGGACCATAACAGAGAACGAGACCCTTCTCTGTGAACCCCTCTCTCTCTCTCTCTCTCTCTGCAGCTTTTATCTTAATAGGATTACCCATTGGAGGAGAACAGGCGAACAGCGAAGTAGTGAATGCCATACTGGTATCTATCTCTTTACGCGCACACACACGCACAGTTTCTACTTTCATAAAAGCAACAAACAGATCTCCACCAATAGACAGTACTACAGCAGTCCCGTAGTAGTAAAGAAAGGAAAAAGGAATCAGCACGACGACTCGCGAGAAGGGAAGCCCATAAAAGATATAGGGTGAGGGAGAGAGAGAGAGAAGGATGGAAAATGGAGGGAACGGATTCAGTAGCAATGGCGGTGGTGGTGGTGGTGGTGGCGGAGGTAGAGGGCAGAATGGTAATAACGTGAACCACTCGTGGGATTTTTGGGAGCTGGGGACGTCTAGGTTCGACTGGAGCAACTCTTTCAACGAAGACGCTGTAACTACTGCAACGACGACGACAACTACAGCTGCGGCAGCGCATGCTATCATGTTTCCTCACCAGGGGGACAATGCGCACCACCACCAATACCCGTCCCTGTACGCAGCGGCGGGCTCCCACATCCACCCCGATCCTCACCTCACCTGCTTGAAGCTGGGAAAGCGACATTACTTCGAAGACGGCACCCCGTTCGGGGAGAGAAACGTCGCCGCCGGCTTCCCCATTGAGAAGAGGGGCAGATCATATGGTGTCGGTGTCGGTGTCGGTGTAGGTGTCGGTGTCGGCGTTGGCGGTCCCTCGTCCTCGGCAGCCGCGGCGGCCACGATGGGGGCAGCTGGGATGGGATCGACAGTGGCGGTGCCGAGGTGTCAGGTGGAAGGTTGCCATGTAGCGCTCGTGAATGCCAAGGATTATCACCGGAGACACAAGGTGTGTGAGATGCACTCCAAGGCTCCCAAGGTGGTGGTGCTCGGGATCGAGCAGCGCTTTTGTCAGCAGTGCAGCAGGTTCGTAGGTTTAGTTTTCTTCTTGATTTTTTCTCGATTCCTTTCTTTCCCTTTCATCATTCATCCCTCCCCGGCGCTTCTTAGATGTGTCTGCACCTTGGATGCAACCTTGCAATGGACTAGTAGATGACTTCTAATGTCCAATTCTCGGAATCAGGGTCACTCTTCTCTCACCCTGGCGAACTTTACACTGATCACTGCTCGCTTTGTGCTTTCTGTTTCGACACATGAGATGTTTTAGCAATCTGAAACACTAATTCTTGATCTATCTTTTTCTCTCCTTTTAAATGGGTTTCTCGGGTTAGCTTTTAATTTTCAAGATGGTTAAGTGTTTTTTTTTTTTCTGATTTGTTTTGTTCTTTAATTGTTACTATTACCATAACAGTCTGGAATGAGTTCTTTGGAATTTGTGTTGGGGTTTGCTGTAGGTTTCATGTAGTATCAGAGTTCGACGACTCAAAGAGGAGCTGCAGGAGGAGATTAGCAGGTCATAATGAGCGGAGAAGGAAGAGCTCTAACGATCCTATTTCGAGGAACCAATCTCAAGGTATACTTCTTTTTTCTTTTCTTTTTTTTTTTTTTTGATAGATTTCCTTTTCGCCCCTCCTTTTTTAGTTTATTATACTTCGGTAGTATGTACTATTTTGTTTGTTCAACTTCTACGCTATCTGGGAGTTTGTAATTTTCTCATCGATTTCATTATATCTATACTTATCAGTTCCTTTGTATGATATTACTCCAAATTCTTTGGGATCTACCATAATTCATTTTCTTAGTGTTATGTCCCAGTTTTTTGTTTATTTCTGTTGTGAACATTCTGCTTTTCAATTGCATATACGATACCAAATTGGGCAGTTTGCTACTATAATAATGAAAATGTGATAGAACTTGCCATTTATTTGAGACTAGTATTAGCCATTAGTTTATTGTGCTTGTAGATACTGAACAAATCTTTGCAAACTTGAAGTAGATTATGATAAACTAGTTGTCTCTTGATATCAATGATCCAGTCTCAGTATTTTAGTTCCTTAACATAAGATGATTTCAAGAAAGTATTCTGTATTAATAGTGGGTCTAACTTTCTTCATTCAATGGATTTACAGTTTAAAGCATGAGTTTTAGGCTGAGGATAAGGATTTCAAGTGTAGTTTAACTGATTAAAATACTTGGCCATGCTTCATTGAGCAAGCCTTAGTTTCGTATGTGCACATATTCCTAGCATTGCACATAACTTTATTCCACCCTAATAAGTTAGAACAGTAATTAATGGGAGGTCGCATTTTAAAACCCTATGCTAGTAATACTCATCTTTGTATCTTATGTCTATATTCTTTGCGGTTGATGCTTATTGAATTTCTTACTCAGCAGACTATTTGAGTTTTCCTGGTCACTAGAATGTTGCTTATACTTGAGTTTGTTGCTTAATTTCTTGAAAGATTCAACCCAAAGTTCTTTTAGATAAAAAGTGGATCCAAGGAATCGAGTTATAAATTTGGCATTGGAAAAAAAAGATGTAAAACTTTTTATCCAACTGCACTTTTATTCTTTTAAAATGCAAACCATCACATGCAAATCCATTGTTTAGTATCCTATATCATAAAAAGTGTAGTACATTTCCTGGAAATAGTAGTTATTTTCCTGTTAGCTAGGGGTGCAACTTGGGCTGGTTGGTTTCGGTAACCCAGGCCTAACCCCAAAGATGCACAAATCAGGCTGAGATGTCAGGCCCAAGACAAACCCGAGGTTAACCCAACACAACTTGGCTCAGGTTAGTTGGGTTTGAAAGAATTTATGGATACATTTACATGGTCATTTTTCCTTGGGCTTTGTAGCCCAACTTAAAGAGTGTCATTGAACGAAAATATGTACAAATTTCATTTAGAAATTTTCATATACATGTATGTATACTAGAAAAAAAAAAAAGATGTCTATATACAACTATAATGCATGTGTATATGTGTTTGTTTGGGCAGGCTTAGGTTGGATTGGACACCTGGGTTGAGTTGTGCCGGGCTAGGATAGGGCACGGGCTACCTGAGGATTCAACCCAAGCCTAACCCAAGTTTAGGCTAGGCCTGAGTTTTTTGGCCCAAGCCCAGCCCACAGCCCAAAAAAAATGTAGGCCTAACCGCCTAGCCCATGCAAAAACTAGTTTTGGGTCGGGTTTGGCCCACCCAAGTTGCATCCCTACTGTTAGTAGAGTCAGTTAATAAAAATCTCGACTCCATGGGTTATACAATATGCTGATGGAAAGTGATTAGTCGTTCGAACATGTTTTAATTATGTTAAATTTTCATCAAACTGTCTTAAGTTCTTTGGTTCTTCATTTCCATGTGGAAGAGGCTAGGGGACTAAAGAGTATTGTGAGTATTCTATGATAGAGTGTCATTGTTTTGTTGTTTGGATGAAGTACTTGTCTAGTGCAGATAGAATTTTGTGTACACCAAAATTGGTGGGCTAAGAGATAGATGTGGTTCTTGTTTGTCTAATTTGCATATTTTGCCCTATAAATGCTTAATATAAATCTTCTGTTATACTAATCAAGGAAAAGGGACAATCTCTATTTCTGGTGGTTGATGTAGATACCATGCAATGCTTCTGTGTCTAAAACTGTAAGAGTAGCTTGAATATATGTTGTTCCTCTTGTCTCACAATTTCTTTGAATTGAAAGTACATTCAACGTGAAATTTGGAATATTACGTAACAAGTAAGTTTCAAAGTATCGATACGATATGCCCTGTATTGGGTGTATTGTATCATATCTTTGGGTCCCCGATACACCTGCTTACAGGTGTTTTCTTTTATGATATTGACTCGCTCAGTTCATGTTTCGTTAGATGAATGCATTCAGATTGTTCAAAAGTTTTAATAAATTGGTAAATGACCAATTTTAGAAACTTGATACAAAAGAATGATTGCCTTAACAATTCACTTTTGTTGTCTGTTTCCTAATTAAAGTTACCTGTTTAATTAAGAAATTAATTCCATGCTTTTAAGTGGAAAAATTGCATTAGTAGTGAAGAAAGTAAAATGGAAGTATTAGAATGTTGGTTAGCACAACATATGAAATACAGATTTGGCAATTGTATGAATGGGAGATTCCTTTTTTTGGGTAAGAGAATGGGAAGTACTTTGAAAGCCGTTGTTATGTTGCTGGCTAAGATTCATAATCTATATTAAGAAAGAGAATGAAGAGAATGTTGCCCATTGGAGGTACTTTGAAAGCCATTGTTATGTTCATTTATAGTGCTGCATTGTTATGTGCATTTATAGTGCTGCATGGTTGCATATCAGTGTGGTTCAGTGCTGGTGATGTTGCATTGAGTATGATTTTGGAGGATCAGGAATTAAAATCCAATAGATGAAGATAGGGTGTGAATGTTGAGATGGATTAATGGCATATTTTTGAAGAATAATATTGGAAAAAATTGCATTTCTGTGAATGTATGGATGACATCAATAGGTGACAAAGTAAGGAATGTAAAAGAAGTTTTGGTATAATATTAGAAATAATTGCTTTTGCCTAGATGGGTATCCATTCTCCTGGATGGGTGCCTTTTTTGTATAATCATGTTGTTAGGCTATTCTGCTCACCAAGGGTGCAATGATGTAAGTTTGAGAGGTTGTACTTATTTTGGATGTGTATGTGCATTTGTAACATGGTCACTGAGGTGCAATGATTTAGGGTGGTACAAGCTCACATGGAATAGACTGGAGTGCATATTAGAAAAACCAAGCTTTGTTTTACATATTTAATATATTTGTATTTACATTGAAGAGTTTACAGCACTGGGAATTTCTTAATGCAATGGTAAAATTTCAGGTTGGCATGTGTGAGAACATGTGTTGTAGTCATGGTTCAAAGTATTGATATACCTTTGTGTATTGGCAGGGTTGTATCGGTGCTTTAACCATGCACTTTTTATTTTTTTTAGTTTTTTTTTCAAAATTTCATTTTAATATTATTTAATAAATAAATGGGTTCCTGAAAACACCTTTAAACAGGTGTATCGGAACCCTTCTGATATGATATGATATGGGCATATCATATCAATACTCGAACCTTGGTTGTAGTTTGAGAATGGCCACTTTGTCCTAAGGTAAAAAATTACAAAGGTTTCGTTTGCATCCAGCTTTATCACTGGGTAAAGGTGTTCAATAGTTCACAACATCTTAGTCTCTATTTCCATGATACCAGTAGTAGTTATCTTCTATGTTCTTAGTTTCTATGCAGTTTTGGTTTTCCTCAAATTTGTATTTTCACACCTTTGCATTCTTCTTTATTTTTAGTTCCAAATTGAAAGGTCGCAAGTGTTAATTTCATTATAGTTGGGATATGGCTTAGATGATGATGATATAAAGGAGGCAAGAACATCTTAAGTTGTATATGGTAATTGGTTTGTATTAATTTGGAGACCCGACTAGAGAGTAAACAATGTGAGCGATGGTTGAAAATTGAAATGGATTTCACTGATAAAATACACTGCATCATTGTTCAATTCTTCTTTGAGAGTGTAACATGGAGATAGTAACCATGGTAATCTTTGAGGATATGGATTCAAATAAAATGTTATAGGACTTATCAACTTTAATACCTTTTATGAAATAAAAAATGTGGTTTTTGCTCCCCTGTCCTCCATTTTTTTGGGCTAATTACAAATACCTTTTGTAAGAGGGTAGAGGTGCGAAACATGTAATAGAATAAGGAGAATGCAAATTGGGAATTAAGACATGAGTTGTGGAAGATGAGAGAGTTGCAAACATGGGGGGTTCCCAAGGATGAGTAAGTTTACTGTTGTGAATGGTGAGTATAAGCAGAGAGACTATGTGAGTTTTGAACTACAATTGGTGCTTAGGTTGCAAATGAGTATGCGAAAATCTTCCGAATCAAGAAAATGACAGAGATTCTTTTTCTAACAAGATCTAAGATTTCATTAACTATAAAAAGGGAAGGTTTGTCTCATTCAAGGCATTCTATATCCATTCCACCATTCTTGCACTCAGAACTTTGGTCCTCAAGCTCACTCTATCTCCTGAGACATTCAGAACTGTTCGGACCACAATAACTACTCTAGTAGCCTATACCTTGCATGGGGTTCCCAATAACAACAAATATCTACCCTAGGTTTCCAAATTGCTCTTCCGTCTCTACTTACCTCAAGTTATTAATGATTATTGATACTCTTACTTTGTCAAGTAGTATGCTATCACATGATATATTTAGACTTTCATAATAACAATTTTAACTTTGTGAATTTTAGGATGCCTTCAAACTTCCTTAAAGACCAAGCTACCCTTTTGAGTGCTTTGTTTGTACACTTGAGATTAATAGTTGCATTTTTAGTTATTTGTCTGTAGGACATTTAGTGCAAGTGAAATTGACATTGAAACCAAGTAGATTGAAGTTGATGAGTTTATAATTATTTATTTATTTTTTGGTTTTTTGAAAAATAAAATTGTGGGGGCAATATATGCCTGATAATTTAATAAAACTTATCCGGATAATTTACTTGATGAACTTGCAGCAGGAGCTTTGTTTTGAGGATGGTTTTTGTTCGATATATTTGTGCCTTTGTGTCATACTTGCTAGTATTAAGTGCATCACGTATTGTATTTGATTGCATTTTTTTTTGAGGCAAACCAAAGCAAATCATTAAAAAGAGTACTCAGATAAAATCAGATAATGAATAAAAGTCCAAGAAGAAGAACAAGTTTTAGTGCTTTGGATTGTACAACCATATCTTGCTATTCTATGTGCAACAGAGTTGGAGAGGCGAGAGTGCTGAATTACTTTCACGAGTCATACATGCAACATATTGCTGGATAATTCCATACTTGTGCAGTGTTTACATATTGCTGGATAATTACTTTCACTGCTTTTGGGTGTTTCTGTTTTCTTTTATTTTTTCCCCTTTTTGGTTTCTAGTTAAATATTAGGTACACGTGGCCTGATAAAAGAAACTGCTATTCATGGAAGTGACATGAGATGCAGATATATCCTCTGGACAAAATACCGCATCCGCATCCAATTCTAACTTATTTTCTTCCATGAGTTTTGGCTTTGATCTCAAATTACAGGGAATAAAAAGTTTGTCCAAGGTATTACTAATATGAGGAGGAATTTAAGTAATGTTTTTGGAGGCTTTATTTTCTACTCAGCATTTCTACATATTTTATTCATCTCTCTTTCCTGCAAGAGTTTCTGCTTGAACTACCACCATACTATACTTGCCCATACTTCAATCATGGTTTTTACTTTTATCTATTTGTGGCCATTTAGCAGCAAAGGAATTTGGTTTTTCAACTTTAACATCTATTTAATTCACTATTGGTCTCTGTACCCCACAACTATTAATTATAGGGGTGATCTTGGGTTGGGCCTGGCTTTGGGTGTATGTCATTAAATACATTATGTTTATTATTATTGTATATATCTTTATATCATATGATATGCAATATATGTATAGAATGAAACTAGAGAAGCATTAAATGCAAAATTAAGTCTGTGGACAAAACAAGAGGGTTTTAATCTAGACACTGTGACCTCCTGTTACCTTAGTTCAATGATTAATAACAAAGGAGAGATTGAGGATCTTGCCCATAACTAATTGGGTTCTGGTATGTGATGGCTGTTATTGTGTGAAGAGTTTATTGCAGTTAAAAGGTGGAATTTTTTATTCTAAAATGTATAAATTTGATTCTTCAGTTATTTTCGGTGCTTGTTCTCTTGACTGCAATGAGAGATTCTGGTGCATTGTATAGAAAATTCTTACATGCAGCGGTGTTGTGTGTAGAGCAAAAATCAATGGGTGGAAGATTCTCATGCATATCATCGTCGACAGGGCGTGCTCTCTCTCTTCTGTCATCCAAATCTTCCTCCTGGGTTTCTCCATCTGACCTCTCCTCTCGGTCCAGTGCTGCACTTCGGGAACTGATTGCAGAGAATCGGGCAGCCATTCTGGCCAGGCAGCTCATCTTTGATCGAACCTGGCATCACCATGCCGCGATGGATGAGTTGGGTGGCACCCAACAACCAGGACTGGTGTCTCAAATGTCTCACCAAACCCAAGCATTCCCCGAGTCAACCGAGTGGGACAGATTCCAGGACACTGGTGCACACGTGACACTAGACCTCATGCAGGCACCAAGCTCACCTTTCGGGTTCCTATCAGGAAGAACAAAATCAAAAGAAGAGGAAGACGAGTGCTGTGACATCTGGAAGTCTTTGGAAGGAACCCATGTAGTCTGAAGTCTGAACTGAACTGAAGTTTCTTGAACTCATTCCTCCAAGCATCCTTGTCTGTTGTATTTCCTGAATAATTTGCATTTTCTGAAGTTGGGATCTGATCTGTTACTACAACTGACAATACAGTCATGGTGCAGTGCAAATACAGTACGTGCATAAGGCAGGTGCCATGACATTGCATGCGGTGGGGATTGTAAATGCTCGATCACTGCATGAACAAAGGGATGTGGGAGCTGGGATTGCAACCTAAATAAGTTGGTCGTTATGGCATGTTGGCATCCCATTAGTTTTCCTTTCTGTACGTACTTACCTTTCTCTGATGTATAAGTTGATGTGGGGGTGTTGCATGGAAGCACGAAGAGAAACCAGTATGTATATGATGGAGCAATTGATTCGATGGATCCAGTGAGCTACTCAGTATTTAGTCTATTACGGGTTACTTGAGTGGTTGAATCATGAGTGGTTTTTTGATTCTATTATATTGATTTCTTTATGTATTATCACCACCAGTCTGCATTGTTTAGTCCCATGATTAACTCAGACATATCTGACGGACGTCACATAGATTGCTAACTTCCAGGCTCCAAGGATGAATGGACTCCATAAATTTGTTGAATGCATTATCAAATGTAGGGTACACTGCAGAATTCTGAATTCTATTGAAGACTTGCAATAATTCAAAATGTCAAATACCTTCACCCTAAACACCAATAGCATTATGTGCTAACCAGTCGGTCCCTTGATTTGCTTCATGATAGGAATGGATGAAAAATGAATCCGGTCCAATCCAATCCAATCCAATGAATATTTTGGACCATTTTGGATTGGTCCAATTCAATGTCTAGACTGTTCAATCTGTTCAAATTTATTTTGATTTATATTGGTTTCAACCCAAGCCCAGTCCATTAACACCTATATTCCAATATAAATTTAACACAAACTGACCAGGTCCAATCCAAAATCGGTTGATTGACACCCTTAGCCTCGTGTGAGTGTGGCCCGTTAGTCCACACAGCCCTACGAAAGCATCCGTCCCAAGATTTTTGTTGGGCCAGCTGGATCTATATTAGATCTAATTTGAATAACTCCAACTATTTTCAACTTTTACAGCTTACATCTATTTGGGTTTGTCTTTTTTTGTATTCTGGTTTCTGTAACGCCAATAAACCTTTTCATTTCCGCCAATAACTCCTTTGTTTCTTTAATTAGAACAAGTTAGTTTTAAGCCTTTAAACAAAAAATCTTCTTTGTTCTGCCGATATAGCTTCATCAATGACTTACAGAAAACAACTTTGTTTTTATTGCATGAAACTATTTGTTTGTATCTCACCAAACACCAATATATAAACAAAAAGACAAGGGTAATATTTGGCTTGTTAACCTTACGTTTCGCATGTAGGGAGTTGTTAACGTTTTAGAACTAAAACCATATTTCATCTTTTTTTTTTGCTTGATATTCCATAGTTCTCAGAATGGTGAGACAGAGTTATTGGCGTAACAGAAATCAGAATGAAAAAATAGACAATAAAAAATAAAAGCTAACCAGTTCGTATTACGGAAATGGTTGTGCTTCCTTTCTTGTTCTATGCAATGCAATGGTGAGACAAAGGAGATATTGGCGTAACAGAAACCAGTTCGTATTACGAAAATGGTTGTGATTTTCATGTGCTCTGCAATGGTGATTGGGAAGAGTAAGGTCGGTCTCCATCTTCTCTTTGCTTTTTTTATTTTGGAAAAAAAAAAAAAAAAACTATACAACACACACAAGCCGTAAAAGTTGAAAACAGTTGGAATTGTTCAAATTAAATCTGACATCGTTATAGTTTCTCATTTAAACGTTGGGACAAGCAACTGAACTGTGACGTGGATTAATAGATCCAACTGGCCCAATACAAATGTTGGTACGGATGCTTTCGTCCATCCTTGAATGAGCGAAAGTGAAGTCTCCACTCTCCTGGCTCTAGCTTGCGTGGTGTCTGTATGGACCTATGGATTAACACGCAGCTTGAGACTCCTGTGGAAAGTGATTCATTTGCATTTGACAGCAAAAATTCACTCGGGAAAACAATTCTTCTTTTGCATGGGAAAAGAGTGCTTCATTGGTTCTTCTGACCACAAGACGTTGGTTACATCCTGTGCACAAGACATCAGCGACATGTTCAGTCTCCGAAAGTCCGAGAAGAAAGGGTTGAAACTGATTGGGACAGATGGGAGCATGGGCGGTTCATGGAAGGGCTGCACTACGTACCCTTGGAGAGGGATCAAAGACGGTCATATTTCCGGCGAGATGTTAGTGATCGGAGAGAAGAGAGAGGATTTTAGGTTGGCAGCTGTTCATATATACTTAATTAGTAACATCTTGAGTTGGTCATATTGGATCGGGCTGTCTCCATTGAGTTTCTGTTCAAGGTAGATTAAACCAGGTCTGTAGTGGTTTGCATGTCTATACTCTTACAGAGAACATCTCCCTAAGGGCTATGACAACAAATAGTGTAAGAGATGTTCCTTACGTGTTTGTACTAAATGCCATGCGAGAAGCTACTATCTTATCTTGGGTGCTTCTCCCCAAATCAAGTACATATAGTTGGGTAATTGTCAAATTTTCAATGGGCAGGAATATTCTAACCCAAGCCCAATGTAGTTGAAATTCTTCAAATTAAGCAATCCCACATGGCTGTCCCAATCAACACTTGTCGTTGCCGAATAATGGAATAATGAGCTACATTATTGCTTTTGGATCATTAATATATAGAATAAAGTTTCGTCATCATACAAGCCTTATCCCAACTAGGGTCAGCTACATGAATCATGCTTAGCGATTCGGTTTTACTTAATGTTATTCTATTGTTAATATCGATGAATAAAATGTCTTATCTAAGTCTATTAAGGGGAGATTTAATAAATGGAAAATAGTCACCTCTGCATTCATAATATAGGAAAAAAATTGGCTATCTAAATTCAACACTTCCTTGCCACCCCCAATGAAAATTCAACACTTCCTTACATACACTGTTCTTACAACCTCTTGCAATCTTGTATTGCAAATATTTTCTCATGAAATAAAACATACAATTACAGAGAATCGGAGATATTTCCAATGTAAAGCTGTAAAGGCTATTTGAACGGTCATTGCACAGACCAAAGCCAAACTCGGTGAGGGGAAAGGGAGTGCTACAACCACAGTCACAACAGATGTGCTCTTGGGCTTAAGGGTGTCAATGGACCGGCTTTGGATTGGACCCCGTCCAGTCCAAAATCAATTTGGACGGATTGGACCGATCAATGAGACATATTGGATTGGACCAATCCGGTCCAAAATATTTATGAGATTGGATTGGACCTGGTCCGTCCATAACAAATTTATATTGGACTGGATTGGATTAAGCCAATATCTGGTCCATTGATAAAAGATATGAATATATGTATCAGTGGACTGGGTTTGGGTTGAAACCAATCTAAATCAAAATGAATTTGAACAGAATTGAATTGGACTGGTCCAAATTGATCCAAAACATTCATTAGATTGGATTGGACCTGGTCCATTTATAATGAACTCACATTAAACTGGATCGGATTGGACCAAATCCAGCCCAAATTAACACCCCTACTTGGGCTTGGAGGCTGTTGGTTCACTTAACGCTACTCAAGCCCATTTTATTTACCCAAAACTAGAAGTTGGATTATTTGGTGTCCAGAAAATCCAGAGTTTCATAAAACTATAGCACCGGTTTTTGATGGTTTATGAATCAACACGCACCTATGACAGTAACATCTAGCACTTAACAGCAATGAAGAAGAAGACAAAGGCAATCACCAATTTTAATTTACTCGTCTAGAGCAATGTAATATGGTAGTGATCTTGTCCCCCAAATATAAGAGGATTGTCTTTTATTAATCTTTCTTTTAAGGCGAAATCTGTGGTGCATCCACGGCACTGTAGCAAAAGATGTAATTGGTTGAACATGTGGTTGTGGTGGTAAGTATATCTTGTTAAACGTGAAAGTACATTTTATAAAAATTTAATCAATGAAAAATATATAGATTTTAAGAATTTAACGTGATTGGTTGTGATATGGATTTAATGTACAACCAATATTAACGAATGCAGTATAATTGAGCTCTAAGTTATATCCTTAACATGTACTTTCTTAACTCATTTAAAAATAAAAATCTCTTTATTCATTTGTTTCTGAATTACATTTCTCTTATCGCGCTAATAAGTAATAACCTCTTTCGCCTCTCTTTCTCATGTTGAAGACCTAAAATATGTATTAATTTTCCCCCAATTAACTCATGTCACTAAGTATGGATGCAAGTCCAGATCTACCCGGCATGTTCAGTTAACACATAAATAGGCATACAATCAGTATAGGACACCTTTCTTGCAAGTATGCCTCTGACTCCATCATACAATGGCTTAAGCATGCTTGAGGGAAAGGTGCCACAGACTGATTGTGCCTATTTCACTGATAATCAGATAGGATTAGTTGAACACAATAGTATGGTTTTCAAAATCGGACTGGAAAACTGGAAACCGGTCAGGTGATCGGTTCCATTTTCTTTCAAAACCGTTCGACCTAGGAACCAGACCTCTGACCGATTCATACTCCAAATTGATTTTAAAAACCTTGCACAATAGCTGTTTAGCCGCCCGTGGAATCAATGATGACACCTCACATCAGTCATAAAATACATGGGCCACGACCATTCAATCTCTCTATATGAGTCCTGTATTTTATGATTGGCGTGGGGCATTGTAATGGGTTCCACAGCTTGTTAAATAATTGATAATCTCATTCAGTTAATCCAAATTAACTGATAATGCACTCTTTCTCCGACTTATTATCACATACATCTCCGGTCCTACACTTAAGCCTTAAGGCTATGTTTGGTTTGAAGGAAAAGGTAGGGAAAAGTAGAAAATCTATACAAGGTTTGTAAAGATTTCTCTAACTTTTCTTTCCTTTCCTTACTTTTTCTTCAAACCAAACATATTATAAGTGTAAATTAACCAATGAAAATTCACCACGGGGTTTCTGATTGGTCAAAGCTCTTTCGACATCATACCCATCCACTCTCATATTTGAGAGTTGAAAATTAAGTGAGCATACGCATCTTCTTTTCATTGCTTATTATATGCCTTTAGTCTAAGCCATTAGTCTAGGAGATCAAGATTGGTAAGCTAGCTACAACCCTTCGGTAAGTGTGGTTACTGGTGTACAATACTTTTTTATTTTTTTCTTTTAAACAGTACTTTTGCGAACAAGAAATTAGGGTGTATCCAGTCCAATATGAGTCCATTATAAATGGATCAGGTGCAATCCAATCCAATGAATGTTTTGGACCAATTTAATGTCTGGACCACCTAATCTGTTTAAATTCATTATGATTTAGATTGGTTTCAATCTAAACCCGGTCTATTGACACATATATTCTTATCTTATATCAATGGATCAGATATTTGCTTAACCCAACCCAATCCAATATAAATTTGTTACGGACG